TTTACCTACAGAGCAATAGTCTCTTCCCATGTTCTCTGCAAAATACACTATTCAGAAGCTATTATAGTAAAAGTTGGCCCTTTCAATGTAAAATTAAACAGGTAGGGTTGGCACAGATAACTGATCTCTTGGGCTATGCCATGATGTAAAGAATATTTTATTACCTCTTCTCTCTTCTTCTAAAGCAGTGCCCCATACCTGCTTTTCTTGATTTATGGCCAAAGGACTTCCATTTTTTCAGGAATCAACATCTCTGTCAGTTTTAAAGAGGGGAAAATAAAAGCACATGGTCCGTGGCAGGTGATCGGGATTTCACTGTTGCTGTTATATATCCAAATGCTAAATTCTGCACCATAATATCTCATTACCCCAAGACCAGTAAATTACCACATGTATTGCCCTTTATTGTGTAAACCTTGCTTCCCTATTTAAAACTGTTTGTTAGTGAAAGTGGTGAGTGCCAATTTCTGGGGAAAATACAGTGAGACAGTGTATTCCCTGTGGTCCCAGGAAGGGAACATAAGGACAGAAAAGAGAGAAGAAGGAGGAAGAATATGGAGAGAACAGAAGGTCTCCATTAGATGTGATATACCAGCAGCATATGCTCAAGTAAACTGCACCCCCACTGCAGAGTAACAAAACTGAAATAACCAAGGAAGACACACATAGCAAGTTTTTGGGGAACAGAGCTGGGAAAATACTTAATCTAGTATTAGAAAATTAGATTACAAATAATCTCCAAGAAATTGCACAAAGCCTAAATAAATAAATTTTAGTCTGAGTCTCGTTCATTTGGAAGCTAGATGGAGAAAGAAATCATACAATTAATGCACAGGTAGATATACATCCATACACACAAACACAAACACACACACACACACACACACACACACACACACACTCACATATACAGAATTTTCAGGGTCACCCGTTGTGCTGCTAAATCAACTTTCATGAGTAGTCAAAGTACTGAATCTCTCAGTTTCAATCAGCTATCCCATATACTTCTCCAGTGGTTGGGAAGGGTTCTGAGCTCTGATTCTTCCATAATATATAGAACATCCTCCAACTTCCTATTTTGACAGCTGTGACTAGAGGCAGTGTAAATAACTATACTATTAACTTTAGTGGTGTGTGTGTGTGTGTGTGTGTGTGTGTGTGAATGTATGCACTTATGTCTGGAGGTTTATATGCATGATAAGGCTGTTAGTCAACATTTGGTTGTGTTTCTCAATTGCTCACTACCATTTAGCCCATAAATTTAAAAACCAAAATCTGAGATTAGAGAATTCATTAGCATAAGTCTTATTTGGGTATGTGGAAGAAAAATGGTGGTTGGAATCAGTAAATTTAGTAAGATATAGCAACGAGTTTATCAATAGGATACACATTATCAAATGTGTTATCAATAGGATACACATTAAAGATTTACTAAAGAGTAATATACTCTAAATTTTCTATGAGTGGAGCAAAGACTATATGAATACTACTTTTACTCGAAGATAGATAGATAGATAGATAGATAGATAGATAGATAGATAGATGATAGATAATATAAACTCATAATAGGTAGATGATATGGACAGATAATACAGAGTAGCTAGTTAAATGATAGAATGTAGATGACATAGACAGATGAGAGATAGATACATAGATAGATGATAGATAAATATACATGGACAGAAGATAGATAATAGAGATAGTAGAGAGATAGACAAACTTATATACATATGGTCATGACTTTAGAAATAGAAAGTTACTAATGCTAGGTAAATTTTTTTAGGCATGAATATTCTATGAGCCATAAAATTTGACTATTGTACCCTGGTTTTCCCTGAACTAGGATTAAATTAGAAGATAGTATAAATAGCACACCTTAGGAAAAAAAAAACAACCTGAATAAAAAGATTTATTTGGGAACAAACACAAGAGGTGATGAAATGGTATGCAGCATGAAATGATGCTCATAAACACAATTTAGAGACCTGTAAAACAGCAATCAGTGGTGTTTATAATGCATTAAATGAAATGAATAAAAATCCTGAGGCTGTTTGTGTCTATTGGCCTAAAGAAGAGGGATGGTTGAGCTACTCCAGGCTGGCTGTTAGAGAATCTAGAATCAGACAATTAAAAAGCACAGTGAGAATAAAAGAGACTCAAGACCTGTCTTAGATGCTGGCCTTGGCATCTCTCTCCAAGCAGCTATTTTATCATCTAGAGAGTGTCATAGGCTCACCTTCCAGGTTTCTATGAAATATGTTTCCCATGTACAAAAATCTAGGATTTACAAATGGGGTTCTAACTTTCAGTTACTCAGCTTTCAGGCTATTTAATATTAAAAGGTGATATTAGCTTACCATTGAGCAACATAATTTTCATTTCTTTGCAGAAAAAAATTAAAATCCAATGAAGTTGAAACCATGAAGGAAATAATGACAGTTACACTTTAATGACTCTCTGATGAATGCTAGGCACTAATTTCTTTTGTTCTTTTTTTAGTCTTGGGAAGTATCCTGCAAGGGAGGATTATTTTATCTGCTTTTCTTTACATTTGAAAAAGAAATCTTGAAAGATGAATTTTCTCTCTAAATAATCTATTTCATGTAGAAAATGGGTGGGATTTAATTTTTGTTTATATTTACTTAATGGCTTCATGTGAATGTATGCATGTGGGTTGGGGTATGTTTTGGGCTGCATATGAGAGTCAGAGGAAAACTTATAAGACATTTTTCTGTCCCACCATGTGTGCACTGGGAAAGTGAACTCAGTGGGCTTAGTGGCAAACACATCTGCCTGCTAAGCCACCTTGTTGCTTAAAATGCATGATTTTAAAATACTGCTTGTATTGCTAATTTTCAACTTCAGTGCATCGACACAGTAACCAAATTTCTTATGCATACTATGTATTATACTTATGTAATTGGTGTGAAATGGGGATGAAGATCAGAAAAATTACAGGGGTACCTTGAGGCCATAAAGAAAAAAAAATGAAGCTTTAAGATATGTACTTTAGATATCTTATACATATGACATATCAAATCCTTAGAACAAGAATATCAAAAGTCAGAATAAGAAACTTTTGTATCAAAGACAAAGATAAAATATAACATGCACATTTAGGTTATAAATATAGAATAAATATCACCAGAAATCATAACAATAAAACAACTTTAAAAATGCTAACATATCTATTGGAATGCTAATCAATATATGAAGAAACTATGAAAATGAATAAAATGAGAAAAAAATGAAAGATCAAAGAAATATTAACAATGAAAGTTGTACATAATCAATTCATTAAAAAGATTGCAAGGCTTTTTAATCCTCACTCCTGTGCTGAAGAACCTGTTGACTGACTGAGAGGGCTTGGTGAGATGGCACCTCAATGTTGGACCTCTAGAAAGCGGGATACAGTGAAGGACTATGCGCAATTGGAAGCATGCGCAAAGGAAAGTAAATAAGATTTGGGCCAGTGGTAAGTAGCGGTGTTTTGTGTAGGTAAGTGTAGGATGTGTTTTGTGTATGTGTTATGCTAAAATCTAGAGAAGTGAAGGTACTTCTCATAGATGCTTTTAGTCTTTGGACACTGACTAGAGACAGGTTACACCCTAGACACAGGTTTGAGAAAAACAGTCCTCCCAACAATTTGGGGATGGTTTGGAGAAAGAGAAGGAAAATGAACTAAAGCTATCTGAGAGCTCTCCTAGGAACAGGCGAAGGTCAGGGGACATCCTGCCTCCTCTCTGTCTCCAAGTGGAGAAATGCTTGGTTCTGGATCCCTTAGGTAGGATATCTGGGTTCCTTTCATGGGACATCTAGTCCTCTTCCCTCTCTGTCTATTGTCTCTCCTTGGTGCACCAATCTGTCCATGTCTGTCGGTTTATGTCTGTTTTTGTTTCGTTGCTTGAATGTTCCATGTTTAAAAGAAAAACGGTTAAAATTTTATCTGCTCGTTGTTCAGCCCTTGATTCAGTTTTTAACTAGTTTCAAAAAGAAAAAAAAAGTAAAAATAAAAAGTAGTTTCAATTGGCTTTTGGAGTCCTACACCTGTAGTAAGGAGTCTAGCACAGCTTGAGAAGCCCTTCCATGGTCTCATTGTCTGTAAAAGCCACTCTTAAAGGCGCCATCAGGGTTTTATTTTTGGCTTCTATGGTAAGGAGCTGATGATTGTTTCTCCGAGAAAAATCCATTACTATGATTATTGTGTTCAGCAGGTGACAAGGTGCTTCTCTTGAAATTAGAGGTAGAAAAACTGAATTTTGTTTGGTTTAAATAAGTAAATGTGTACAGCCAATTCATTTTTTGTTTCTGACTGGTCTTAAAAGTATAAATATGTTCTACATGTCTTAGTTATAGATTATTGGCTTGTAAGTTATTGGGTGCAATTAAAAGTTTGTAACCTTTGTAAAAGAAAGTTGGTTTAAAACTGGTAAGTCAGGGTTGGAGTCATTCTAAACAGCAACGCATGGTATGAGCCAGCCCAGAGAAACAGGTCTCTAAAGATACATTTAAAGTAGGTAACATTTTATGTATTATAAAGACTTATAAAAGATTTAGGGCAGTGTCTCTTTGAGGTATTGGAGGCTGTACTATTTTGCATTTGTGCAGGAATTGGCAGCCAAACTTTGCAGCATGGGGGTGACACACTTGGTGTTGATTTTGGAGAAATTGGATTGATTGTTGGAGGTTGAGTTTTACTTTCCAAAGTTATGGTTGTGCTCTGGTGTTAACAAGGGAAACTCAAAGATTATAGTTGAATTGTCATTGTTACATTGGATGCAAATTGTAGTTAGATCACAGGTTTGGGATTTTAACTCACACACATTTGTAATTAAGAAAAAATTCGACAGGTGGAGATTGTTGCATGGTTTACTGCAAAAGGTTGATTAGGCTATGGAACTTGTGGAGGCATTGTAGCCTGGCTTGCCTACTCTAGCTGCCATGTCAAGAAATGCATATAGAGGTAAGAAACAGGAAGCCCCGAAGGGTCAAAAGGAATACAAAAGCAAAGTGTGTTTGCTTCCTGTGAGCCGTTGTTCTTTCTCGGTTTCTTTTCTAGTTTTTTAAGAGCGAGTGGCCTTGGCGGCGACGGTTTGCGTTAAGCGCCGCGGAGGTGAGGGAGGCTCGCCTCCCGCGCTCTGGTAGGTGAGTGCGGCCTGGGTCCGCGCCGGGAGGAGAAACCAGGCTTCTCAGCCGAGGAGAAGGTGAACTACAGCCAGAGTTAGGATTAGGGCCCAGTTTTGAGGTGCTGACAACCTGACAACCAAAAGATCTTGCTGCTTTTATTTCTTCCCTGAGTTCCAGCTCTGCGACCTCCCTGCTTTACAGACTGGACTTGACTGCTAAAGGGCCTTGAGTACCTGAGAGTCTCCATTGGAATCTGCTTGGGAAGCAAGAACAGACTATTCCATCATGGATGGAGGGGATGATGGTAACCTTGTCATCAAAAAGAGGTTTGTGTCTGAGGCAGAACTAGATGAGCGGCGTAAAAAGAGGCAAGAAGAATGGGAGAGAGTTCGAAAACCAGAAGATCCAGAAGAATGTCCAGAGGAGGCGTATGACCCTAGGTCTCTGTATGAACGGCTGCAGGAACAGAAAGACAGGAAGCAGCAGGAATATGAGGAGCAGTTCAAATTCAAAAACATGGTAAGAGGGTTAGATGAAGATGAGACCAACTTCCTTGATGAGGTTTCTCGACAGCAGGAGCTGATAGAGAAGCAGCGACGAGAAGAAGAACTGGAGGAACTGAAGGAGTACAGAAGTAATCTCAACAAGGTTGGAATTTCTACAGAAAATAAGGAAGTGGAGAAGAAGATGACTGTGAAACCCATAGAAACCAAGAACAAGTTCTCGCAGGCAAAGCTGTTGGCAGGAGCTGTGAAGCATAAGAGCTCAGAGAGTGGCAATAGTGTGAAAAGACTGAAACCAGATCCTGACCCAGAGGACAAGGCTCAAGAGGCCCCATCCTGCATGTCTCTTGGAAGCTCTTCTCTGAGTGGACCTCCCTCCATCCACTGCCCGTCTGCTGCTGTATGCATCGGCATCCTTCCCGGCTTGGGTGCCTACTCTGGGAGCAGTGACTCCGAATCCAGTTCAGACAGCGAAGGCACTATCAATGCTACGGGGAAGATTGTCTCCTCCATCTTCCGAACCAACACCTTCCTTGAGGCACCCTAGCTCCTGACATTACCACAGGGAGCATCTCCTCAGAGGGTTAGATGCCAGTTCTGCCTTGGCGTCACCTCCCTCAAAAAACTTACTTACCTGCTTCCTGTGCACATGTGACATTTTAACTTAACTCAGAAATGTGTCACGGTCCACTTGTGGCTCAAACTCAGCTTGATTTCTCTATACTGCAGTGCAGATGACCAAACCTATCCTGTTGATATGAGGAGTCAGGGTTCAGGCTAATCTCAGAAATGTCACTGACAGGGCAAGGACAGGCACCAGATGGCTTGCAAGGGTTCGGTGTCCCTTGTTACTGTCTGGTTTCTCTCCTCACGTAGCAGCACAGGAAGCAAGGGCAGCATTAACTTCATATTCTGTTGTAGATGAATGGGTTGCTTGGTTCTACCATGTTGTGTGTGGGCATAGAGAAAGGGGCTGATTAGCCGGTGACATGGAGCTGTCCCCTAGAACTAACCCTTCCTGGATGTTGTGTGGTTTAAGTAAAGATTGCAAGCCACACCCACGAGGCTATGAGCCAACTACAGCCCTTGAGGTGACACTCTTCCATGTTCTCTCTCCATCCAGCCTGCAGGGTGGAATGAGCTATAATGAGGACATGTCCGTCTTCTGCCCACCTTCTCTCCCTGAAAAATTGTTTTGATTTGTTTTTGAAATAAAAGATTTAGTTTAAGATTCTGAAAAAAAAAAAGAAATGCATATAGAATTATTATAGATTTGGAGGATTGTTTTTATACTGTTCCTTTACATTCTGGTGACTGTGGGAGGTTTTTATTTAGTGAGTTTGCTTGTAATTTTGGAGAATCCAAAAATCCATGAAGTGATATCACTGGAACGTTTTGCCTCAAGAAGTGGCTAATAGCCTTATGTAAGAAATTTTGTTGCTGCTTCAGTACAAGAAGTTAGGAGTTTGAATCTTTCAGTGTATATTATTTATTATATGGATATTTTGGTAGCTGATCCCTCTGAAAGTGTTTTACTACAAGTCTTTGCTCTCATACAAAGAGCTTTAAAATCTTGGAGTGCTTGTTACTCCAGAAAAAATTCAAAGGCAATATACTTTTCAATATTTGGGACCTCAGTTATATCCTAAGCAGATTGTGGCACAGAAAATTCCAATAAGAAAAGATAGTTAGGGCCAGAGAGATGGCTCAGCAGTTAAAAGCACTGACTGCTGTTTTGGAGGTCCTGAGTTCAATTCTGAGCAACAATGAGGTGGCTCACAGCTATCTGTAATGGGATCTAGTGGTCTCTTCTGGCTTGCAGGTGTACATGCAAAAATATAATTTAATGATTTTCAAAAGTAGTTAGTAGATATTAATTAGTTAAGACCTCATCTTAAGCTTATGACAGGAGAACTTGAACCTCTGTTTGATACCCTCTAGGGGGATGCTAATCCTAATTCCCCTTGACAATTAACTGAGGGATGGATAGCTTTGCAAAAGGTGGAGGATGCTATTAGTCAACAGGAGATACATTATATAGACCATAATCAATTGTTGGCTGCTTGCATCCTTGCTACAACTCATGTGCCCACAGCAGTCCTTTGACAAAAGGGACCAGTCATTTTTCTTCATCTCCAAGTAAAGTTTTAATACCCTATTATGAAGCTGTAGCTTTGTTAATACAGAATTGTAGAATAGAATCAAGAAAATATTTTGGGAAAGAACCTGATGAAATATTCCTTATTCCAAATAGTAGTTAAATTGGTTATTGCAGAATACTGATATTTGGCCTATTGCATGTGCAAACATTTCAGGCAAAATTGATAGTCATTATACAAAAGATAAGTTGTTACAGTGTTCCTCTATGCATGCCATTGTATTTCCTATAAATTTATGCATGCAGCCCATAGAAAATGTGCTTACTGTATTTACAGATGACTCATCTATTGAGAAGGCAGAATACGTGATTGGATCACATGTTCATTCTCTTGAGTTTCCCCCTGCTTCAGCACAAATAATTGAACTGCATTCTGTAGCTACCGTTTTTGAAATGTTGAAAAATCAAGCTTTTAATTTGTATACTGATAGCCAATATATAGCTCATGGTTTACAACTACTTGAAACTGTTTCTTTTTTTAGATACTGCTAATTCCCAAATTTTGCAATTACTTATGTAAATACAACTCAATTTAAGAGAGCGTACACTTCCTTATTTTGTAGGACATCTAAGAGCTCATACTGGACTGCCTGGACCCCTTAGTGAGGACAAGCCACAGGAGATTTGCATGCCAGGAAGGTTATAGGCCTTCTACAGGAACAGTTAGCCAAACAATCTCATTCTTTACATCATCAAAAGAGTAATAGCTTGAGACAACAATTTGGTATTTCTACAGAATGCAAGTCAAATTGTAAAGACTTGTCCTGAATGTCCTCAATTTCTTCCTGTACCACATAATGGTGTTAATCCTTGAGGACATATACCTAATCAATTATGGCAGATGGATTCTATTCATATTTCTGACTTTGGAAAATTAAAATATGTACATGTGACTATTGACACCTTTTCAGCCTTTCTAGTTGCAACTGCTTTAACAGGAAAAGCAACTAAAAATGTAATTAGTCATTGCCTACATTGTTTTTCTATGCTGGTTGTTCCAAATCAGATTAAAACAGAAAATAGAACTGGCTACTACAGTCAAATGTTTGAGATGTTTTGTCAACAATTTAATATTATCCATATTACTGGAATTCCTTTTAATCAAGGACAAGGTATTAAGAAACAGGTATTGTGGAACTTTAAAACAATATCTTCATAAAATAAAAAAGGGGGAGTTATATCCCCACATACCACGAATTTATTTAAATCATGTTCTTTTATTTTTACATTTTAAAATTCAGATGCCAAGGAACTGAGTGTCTATGGCATCCTAAAACTAGGCATACTAATGCCTAGGTGAGATGAAATGATCCACTTACAGGCATATGCCATGATCCAGATCAGGTAATTAATATGGAGAAGAGGGAATGTTTGTGTTTGTTCTGCAGGATGCTGAAGGAGCATGCTAGCTCCCAGAATGATTGGTGAGACATGCTGATGTTGGGACCAAGAATGATGCTGACCTGTGTGCTTGCTGATTGCCCTGACAATGGTGACTAGGAAGCTGTACTGGATATACATTCCTAACCCACCTTTGCTTGTCTCTATCCCAGATTGGACAAGCTGCCTTGTTTCAAGCTTTTAGACCTTGTGGGACAGAGAATCAAAAAGAGAAATTATAATGACTCTTCTACTTCCTTTAATGTGACCAGTTTTTCTGATTCACTCATGGACTGGTCTAGTAATCAATCTAATATTGGAAATGACAGTCTTCATTTGGAAGGCTGGTTATGGACATTTTCAGAGACATATCTGGAAGTTAGCTGCAGCTCTCTATGAAGTCACACTGGCTATAGATAACATTGAAACAGGATCTGGACTAACAACAAGTGTTAGTGCATATGTTAAAGCTCCTAATCTTTTGTTAATTGGTCATGTTAAAATTACTTTTGTCTCTACAGTATTCAATGTAGGATATGTTGATAGTATACTTTCTAATTGGGTTAGTGTATCGAAAACTGGCATGTCTGTTATGGTGGTCTATTAACCAGCTTTTGTTTTATTGCCTGTGAGTATTACAGAACACTGGTATTCTGCAAAAAAAGGCTTGCAAGTACTGGAAGAAGTGAGTCAGGCTTTAAGTAGAAGCATGAGGATAGTGGACTTCAATATTGGTATAGCAGCTTTGATTACATGAACAGCTAGTACCACTGCTCCCACAATTGCTTTGACCCAAGAAGTTAAGACAGCTATGATCGTTACTCATCTAGCAAAAAAAAAAAAAAAAAAAAAAAAAAAAAAGAATGTTGCTAATATTCTGAGTATTCAAGAGGATTTAGATAGACATTTGGAACAACAAATTGATGCTCTTTATGATAGTATTTAAATTATTAGAGAGGAGGTTCAGAGTTTAAATATAAGGAGTCATCTCGAGTGTCATGCCAAATACCAAAGGATTTATGTTACTTCTAAAATTTACAATGACAGCCTCTATAATTGGGAAAAGGTTCAAAGACACTTGCAAGTTATTTGGCATAATTCTAACAGATCTTTGGATGTTTTAGCTTTGCACACTGAGACTGTGAATTTAAAGAATGCTGCTCCACTGAGTTTTGATCTAGTAGATACTGCTGATAAAATTATTCATGGCCTGATGTCAGTATTTCAATCTTGGTCAAGCTTCAAGAATGGCATATATTGCTTGATCATGCTAGCCCTTTTTGTCCTGGGAATACTTTTATTCCTGCTCCCCATGTTAAAGCTTGTCTTTAACAACATCAACATGTTGGCAGCTAAAGTACATGGCTTGAAACTAAAAATGGCCCCCCAAATTTAACAGGCTGGCAAGCCAATGACTGCCAACCTTCTGACGACCTAACCAACATAAGACTGAAGTGTGCTGCTTTTGATAATACATATTCAATGATGGGTAAGGGGGGGGGGCGTTGCTGTCAGAATTACCTAAGACAGGCTCAGTCTTGTTAAATAATATAAAGGGGGGAAATGTGGAGACCTTTCGGGGCTGCTTGGCAGGAAACCGACATTGGCCAAAGACAAGAAAACAGGCTTTAGGCCGGAATCTGACATTGGGCCATGACAAGGAAGTACATTCAGGCAGGAATCTAAATTTAGGCTAAAACAGAGAAGTAACTTTAGGCAGGAATCTAATTTTAGGCTAAAACAGAGAAGTAATTTCAGTCAGGAATCCAAGTCTTAGGCTAGAACAAAGAAGTAGGCCTCAGGCATGGATATTACTGTGGGCTAGGACAGGGAAGTAGGCTGATATTTTTGTCATCCTGAAGACCCCTTAGAAACAGTGATCACGTGGTGATCACAGGACTCGGTATATTGCCTTGTTTGTTCCTTGATTGTTTGTTTCTATTGTATTGTTGGTTCCTCAACCTAGAACTGACCTAAATACTTGCATATATTTAAAAGGGTTTAAAAGAAATGTGGGATTAAACAAACTTGCTTCAGATTTCAGCCTCAGAACTGGCTGGGGTCATGCTGAAAAAAAAAAAAAAGATTACATGAAGCTACAGAGATTTGATTGAGCTTGAAAATACTGTTTTTTTTTTTAAATCAAACATGAGGCAAGATTTTAGAGTTATCTTATTTGTTAAAATGCTTACAATTTATGCATGAAGACCTTAATTCAAAACCTGTATCCAAAACTATGGGATGATGGAGGACAATCTTGTATTTCCAGTTCTGAGGAGATAAAAACAGCCTCCCAGGCAA